AATCAGACAGTGGATTTGGTACATTTCCCAGACGTTTCGCCTGCATCGTCAGTGCGCCTTGCCACTCTTAGTACCACACCACAACTCGTTGGAGAGACAAGTGAAGTCGATCCTTTGAGCACTTGTGTGCTAAACAGTTGGGGTATTCTCCTCCTGTCCTGGGCCATTCATCTATTGTATATATCCTCGTACCACCCTTTCACCATCACAATTTCTTAATTGTTTGGTGTGCCCTTTTGTGCGCATTTCATTAGACCTCTTCACAGCCCACGCTGACTTTCTCATTCCATCTTAATTTTATAAACCAAATTGATGAACGAATTGAATGAACAATGAGGGTGGAGGAGGATGAACAACTGCCTTTTCTGGATATTGAAGTCATGCGCTCCAACGGAGCACTCATGAGGAGACAATTCAGAAAGAATTCAATTGACGGAATAAGCCTTTATTTTCAGTCTCACCATAACTACAGATTGAAGATCGGAATACTGAGAAGTTTGATAATCAGAAGCTTACTACTAACGAAGACTGAGTTGTGGTACGAGGAGTTGGACAAACTGACACCGATTTGCCTTATTGACGGGTACGCCATAGAATTTATAGAAGAAAATGTATATATTATAAAGAGCATATTCCATCTCGGATTTTATGAAATTCCGTTCTGGAATCAGTAGGACAATCAAAAGTGGATATGTCTGCCTTGCTGGGAAGTGAGTCAAAGATTGCGACCGTTACTAAGGGAATGGAATATCACGGTGATAACAAAAGAAAAGACAACACTTCTCATCAATCTGCCAACGCAACACGAGAAGATGGGCAAATTAGATTGTTCGGGAGATAATCGCATTAAATACAACTGTGAGCAAAAGTATATTGGTGAAACAAGAAACAACAAAGACTCCGGAAAAGCATGGATACGGAAAGATATGAAATAGCGGAACACAGCACAAACGGGACACGAAATCGACCGAAAGGTTGGCTGCATATGGTGGAAATGCGAGAAAACACAAGAGCCGAGAGGCTATTGATATACTGACCGAGAAAAATCTAATGCACAGGAGACTTAAAGAATACAGGATGAGCGAAAACTTTGCACATTGCATAAACAAACTTGGAGCAGACCAGGCAATAGTAAGATCAGCCAAAAAGAAGACGACTGGATCAAAGTAACATGTTTAATTTTAGGAAAATAAATCGCAAAGAGATCAGAAAGGAACAATCGGAAACCAAGAGGAGATGTCTTAAGTGATCCTAATCAAAACAAGTAGAACCACAACATTTGTGGGTTGGCACACAAGAGACTAAGGCCTAGGAAGTCATAGACTCGGCACTATGGATAGAAGCCCGATAGATGCGGCGAAGGCTATAGCTAGTTGGCTAACAGTAGACGTATATGAGATGTATTTACCCTATTTATTTTAAGATGATGAGGGACTGGCTAATGAATTTTCCCACAATCATATGAGAAGAGTAAAAAGTCAGCGTGGAGGGTGAAGAGGCCCAATGAAATACTCTTAGCAGGGCCCACCATACCAGATTTAAGTAGGCAATTAAAAATTGTGATAATGAAGAGGTGGTAGAAGGATATAGGATAGGTGAATAGCCCGGGACAGAAGGAGAGATACCACAACTGTTTGGCAGACAATTGCTAAAAGAATCGACTTGTCTCTGACGCGTTGTGGTGTGGTGCTAAGAATGTCAAGGCTGACTGACGATGCAGGCGAAACGTCTGGGAATGTACCAAGCCTGCCGTCTGACTCTGGACATTATCATGAACGCCGATGAGCACGTTGCGAAAAAAGGTCAAACAACTACTCCACATTTGGCTTGTTTCCAGTAAGTTTCTTGTGCTGCTGGTTGCTTCTGGAATCGTGTGGTAGTCACTCATTAAATGTAGATGCAGAGATTTCAATTTATATCAAAGTTAGGTATTCAAAACTGTATTATCCCAAGGACTCACCATTGCCATGCTGTATCGGCAGATCTCTTGATGCCTCCATATTTGACATAATGTCGACCCGTGCTATGCGTTGTCCGTACTGCCGTAACTTTGCTCCAGACTCGCACGTGTCGCGCAACACTGCCGCACTTTCAGCCATCTCTGTCTTCACCCTCGTCAGCTCCTCTTTTCCCAGTTCCTGCTTCTTCGTTGGACAAGACTTGCCATGTCTGACAGCCGTCGTGTCACGTCGACGAAGTGGCAGAGCTGCATAATGAAGCGGATGTTGATGCGACTGAGCCAGCATCCTCACGTCGCCCAAATCTTGTCTGTCCGACTCGATTCTGGTCAGCCCGTTGCAGAGAAGGCGAGGCGCAGACTCGAGCTTTGCGTCTATCATGAGTCCGGCAAGTGAAGATGACACCGCTTCCGATACCGCTGGATTGGGCGACGGAGTACTGCGTCTCGACTGGGGCTCTGGTGCTGGGCCGGCCTGCCGAATGGACCCAGACGCAAGACGAATGTCAGAATGGTCGCCAGAAAATGGGGGGCTTCCGTTGTTGAGCAACGGTAGTAGATGAGGATGAGGCATGGGCATCAGCAAAAGAGGAGGAGTAGTGCGTACAAGACCGTTTTCAGGCGGAGCCGAATGCACCAGAACCGAAGGAGGTGGTGACAAGACGGCGTCTCGACGGGATTCAAAGTCAAACTTTCTAGAAGGCGGAAGACGGCCCAGGGATGAAAGCAGGTTGAAACTAGGCTCAAACATATCGGTTGTGGGGAAATCATCTGCAAGACAGAATGGACCTGTCTGCGGCGGAAGGCCTGAATGACGGTGAAACAAGGGCAAGAAGACGTTAGCGGATTCATTAAAGGTCTCCATCTTAATCTAGTCGAACGAGACCTTCTGTCGAAGAGCCTCTCTATAAAGTATCAATTGCTGTAGTAATGGGTATCAATCCATCTGTGTGGAGTGAGATTGATAGAAAATGGGTTTTGACACTATCAGTTAATCTTGAATAAGAGCTCGTCAGCCCAAGTCGTATAGAGTAGGAAATATTGGTAATAAAATGTTCCCAAAATGATGTGAGTAGGCCTATCTTCTTCATTTAATTTCATATATTTTTTGTTTACAAATAACTTTTTGATACTACTAGTAAATCACATATATGGCATGTGTTTACACTATTTCGTTTAGGGTGATGAACTACTGGTGGTTGAATTTTGCCACTAATATGACTAGATATCACTTTTTTATTGAATTTCACATAGTCTTGCCTCGCAAAAGATCCTCTCACTCGGAATAGACTGCAGTTTCGACATCGCCCAGGTCCCATCAACACTTAGAGCGGTACTCAAACCATTACAGGTCAGTGTATTATATCTACACATCAACCACTACACCACATTTCACCGAGTGCCTTTGAATCACAGGGAGGGTGTGAATTTTAAGGAATGCCAGGTATTTTCCCATATCACATTCTGTGGTGAGATTGCCGATGAAAAATGTTTCATGTGCTCTAGCAATCGACTGCATTGTTAATATTTCATTGATCAGTTGGTTTTTGTGACTGCTAGTGGATCATATTTATGAGGTGATGTGATATTGGAAAAGTCAACTAATTGTGAATGCTTCTAAACTC